ACAACCCAAGGGTGTGATTTTTGTTTGTGTGCGCTTCAGCACTGCTGAATTATTTCCTGCCATTTGTAGCTTTCTTTGCAGGGTGCATTTCTTCGTTGCAACACAGAAATGCACGTTGCAAGGAGTTCCCGCCATTTGTATTCAGATTTGTGCCCCACTATTGGTCAGTTCTAAATTATTCCTACATGGCGGCTAGTGATTGTGTTGCTAGCCGTATAAGAGGCTTGAGTGGTTTCCGCCCAAGTTGGAGGACTCCACGAACATCAGGAGGAGGAGACTTCACGTCTCGTGAAGATCTTTAAGCGCTGCGGAGCCTATTGGACCCAGCGTGTATATCAAGAAGGCTACAGGGGTCTGATCAGCCTCTCGCCTCTCCCCGTTGCCGCCTGATCCCTCGACGTACCCTTCCCTGCGCGCAAAGTTCCACGGAGCCTAGCAAACTTCGTGTGAGTGAATCCAGAGTTCTGTCCGAGTCCTTAAACTGGGGCTTAAGCGAAGTTTTCCTGGAAGTTTTCCAGCCTGCACCGCGACCATCTACAGTGTAAGTAAACAATCTTAAATCAACCATTAAGCGTCCGTGCCTAATTCTAGCGTGCCGTCTGCCTTCCCTGACCCGGCGTGTCCGGGCTGCTGGCCACAGCCCGCCGCGCGAAAAAAGGGCCTCGGACCGCTCCCGGCCCGCACACCCTGGTGTAGAGTAATTTAAGGAATACTGTGGAAAATAAACCTGTCCACCAGAATGAATGCTGCATGATTACAAGCCACTGTAAATAAAGTTAAAAATCAAGTATAATAAAAGCTATCTTATAAAAGGGTAAATGAACCATAACTTAAATTAACTGCAAAAATTAAAAATAAAGACAAATCAAATATACAGGCATTTCCCCACTCTCTCTCACAAGCAGAACAATTACAATACAAAATTATTTAAAGTAATTCAGCTGCTATGTAGCACAACTGATTTCTCATGTCACACAATTTTCTAAAAGCTCTTTTGTTAGAAAGCTATAAGTAACTGTATAAGTGATTTACACATTTCTAGATCATAATTTTTTACACTGGTTTGTTTGTTTGTTTAGAATATATCTATATGCTGTGTACTATTATATTTATTCTCTGTGAGTTCACACAGAAAGCTCCATTTTCACATCGCTTACAAAGACCAATGGTAACCTGAAAATTATTCCATTCTATTTTACCTCAGTATAACAACAATAAAATAGTCTTTTACAATTTAAAATTAACATCAAATATGGTTCTTTTCTTTTTTCTTTCTTTCTTTCTTTTTTTTTTTTTAACTCATCTCCATTTCTGAAATCGACATTTTACAGATACAAAATATCACCTAGTAACCACAGGGCTACTTTCCTTTGGCAGAAGTGCTTTGGGGCTGGTACAAAGCTCACAGCTGCAGGCCCTTCTAATTTGAGGGACTAGAATTACAAAGGAGAATCTCTAGTCCTTTTATTTGCTAAGGCAGCCTTGAAAATGACAAGAAGTGATAGAAAGTGCTAATGAAAGGAACAAACAGTCAGGCTCCACTTCTACAGTTAAAAGATTTCCCAACCCAAAATATCCACTTTTTTATGCATTCAAAAAATTAGTAATGCTTGACATATATCTGAAAGAATCATCTTTGTAACAACTCGAATTAGCACTGCATACTGGTGGGAACAAATCAGCTAAGGGTGCAGGGCTGAGGTAAAGCTGAACAGGTGATCATGGCAGTTTTATGCACCTCCCAGCAGTGCTCATGCTGGTCTTCCCTAAATGTGTAATGCACGCTGTAGAACAACAGGGTGCATTACACTCACTCTTGGCCTTATCTCCCAGCAACTCAGGACTTAAAATATTTATAACATTGTGATGACATGAACTGGACTTTTCTGAGTATGTGCCAAAATTGTGCCAATGATATCAACAGCCTGGAAATGGCACCATGTAGAGGATTACAATTACTATATTCAACAGATTTTCATTATTGCTATCGTAGATTGTTGCTATCAAGGTTAGATCATTGTAAAGATTAAAGATGTTTTAATAAATCTTTTGTAAAAGCTGCAAGATGCTGATGACAAATATACTGCAAAGAGTTCTGGCAATCTGGCACGAGCAACCTTATGGTGATCTGTAGTTCAGAGAATGCTTAATTCAGTTTTTAGCTACATAAGTGTCAGGGGAAAAATACACACATACACACACACTTCAAGTATTATTTCTTTGTGTGCAGATCTTAAGAGTTTATCATCTTTATTCAGGAAGCTGTTTTGTGAGCAACAGAAAATCTTCCTCATTAAGACTGTACACAATTGTAAACCACAGATCATCGAAGATGCCCTTCTGAAGCCACAAAAACACAAGCATTACTGTTAAAACTGCAATGTTAACCCATGATGGTATGTGAAATACCAGCTTGTTTATACCCAATACTTGAAACAAAAAATTGCTGTTGGCATACCTGTGGATAAACATTGTTTACAGTGCACTGTTCACACAGCATAATTCATCCAAGCATCTCCAAGTATTTTACAAATATTAACGTGAAGTAAGCATGAAATGGAAACTAATGTGTGGAATTCCCTGATTTGCCCAAGGTTACATGGAAATCAGAAGGTACTGATGCTACCTAGTAATAAATTCAGAGCTTCCACATGAAATGTTATTTTCTATGAAAGCATGTTAATTTACCTATTTTTCATGGGATATTTTAGCAGAAATACTGCCCTGAAATACATTTCAAAACGTATTCATCTTAGGCCACATACAAACATTCAAACGAACCACATGAAGTCTCATGGTTTTGTTCTCCTGGAAGAAAAAAACTACAGGGAGATCGCTGTATTATGTTACAGGAACCAAGCAGGTGCCATGCAGATAATCTGTGTTTCCAATGGCAAAGCCAACATCAGGCCACTGCCTCAAACCTGGGGCCTCAGCCTGACCAACACAGCCACTTATCCCAGTCTGCCATCCTACAGCTGACCACTCATGCTGGTCAAGGCTGTCCTAGTCCTTTGCCTACTCACTGGCACTGAAGAAGCCAGCTAGGGATCAACTGACCCGCTTCTTCCCCCACGTAAACCCCTGACTTAGAACAGGAACTGTCTGGGTAACAAGGCTCTACCTGATTCCAGACTGCTTTGCTGTTCCCTCTGGTTGTGTTCCGACTCTGTTCTCTGCTTGATCTCTTAGCTTCTGGCTTGCCTTCCAACTCTGCTTTCTGCTTGATCTCCTGGCTTCTTGACACAGATTGTGTCCTCCTTCGCTCCCAGCCCCCTCTTTGCCTGATCTCGCAGCTTCTGCTTGTTCCTAGCCCTTGCTCTCAGACTGAGCTCCTGGTTTCCTAATCCAGCTTTGTCCTTGGACACTGCTTCCTCCTCTTGACCTTGGTTGGCATCTCTATCCTCGAGTGGCTCCCACACCTTGCCTCCCACAACCTGGCCTGACAGTGAGGGGGCCCTTGTGCACATATCCCAGTGTGCTTTGCAGGCTCCTCTGCCTGCCAGAGGGCTAAGAGCAGCTGAGTATATAGGGAAGCACTGATGGACTGGCTGCCCGAGGGGACCACACTCACCTGGGGAACTCCTGCTCACAATCTCTTCTTCCTTCCTTCCTGCTGTGAGACTTAGAGAGGAGACCTAGAGCATATTTCCTCTCCTGTCAGTTGCACATGTGTCAATTGCTGGGTGAAGAGGTCTGGGTCTGAGTTTGGATCCAGGTCTCTGTATCAGGGTCTAGGGGTCTTGTTCATGTGTAGGCAACATGCCTGCCTTGGCAATCTGTACCTCCCTGCAACTCTAGAGCACAGGGTAGAGCTGATAAAGAGACTAGGCTTTCTTGGCCCTAAGGCAGTCAGAGCAAGGGGTTTGCTTTGTCTTTGGGCTGGAGCAGTGGAGTCCAGATAGACTGCCTCCCTGGTGCAGATGGGGAGGCTGAAGCAATGCACAGAGAACCTGGAGAACAGCACTGTGGCTACTATCAGAAAGGTAAATGTACATACATTAGTATTCCAAGGAGGAATTTGCCTAGGAGCCATTTCTACTGAATTGCAGTTGGGTTAATTTTCTCCTACAGCTGCCATTTTTGCTCTGGGAGAAACTGTGAACATTTGTATATTTAAGGTACATACATACATTTGGGGAAGTTAGGGGAAGGTTAGATTGAGTTAAAATGGTCACCCAATCTAAGGCAAATCAGGATCGGACACTAGCAGGGGAGCTTGGAGGAATCGTGGGGGCAAGTGGGGTCTGCAGGGAGGTGGGGGGAGATTGGAGTGCAAGCAGAAACCACAAGTTGGTGGAAAAGTGGAGTCTGCAGGTGGCTGGAGGTGGGGGGGAGACAGGGTCCACAGGAGAGACTGGAGGGGCTAGTAGAGTCCATAGAAAGGGTTGGGAGGGATCGGAAAGTATATGGGATCTGCACAGGAGACTGGGGGGGTTAGAGTCTGAAGTGGAGTTGGTGGGATTTGGGGGCCAAGTGGGTTTGTGGGGGAGATCAGGAGAATTGAGAGAACAAGTGCAATTCCCCCCAGTAGAAATGTTGATGCTTGTACATAGCCTTAGATAGTCATCTGCCACGGTAAACTTATTTTCTTATTGTATTAAGAAAAAGAATGGTTTACTTATAATTCAACATTTATAATGTCTCCTGCTTTTCATACGGCAAGTAACACTTTTAAAAAAAGAAAACCTCTCCTCAGCCCAGCCACTGTGCCTAAGGGATGAGACCACATGTTCTCTCTGTTTCTCTCTCACAACAGTTGGATCACTTTCAAGAGTTGTGCAGATTCCAGATATTAAAACATTTTTGCAGAGGAAAGCAAATAAAAAGTTAACTGATGTTTTCATATACAAAATGAAAAGTAATGAAGACCAAATAAGTGAAATAACTTTCAAGATTATAAGATACCACCATGAAGAGGAAGGAAAACAAACAAACAAACAAACAAAATGGCTGTTAGCAGTAATTTGGACAATCAAAATACATTTTAAATAATTTACCTAATAGAATTTTTCTTTATTTTTTCATCAATGTCACTGAGGATTTGCTGAAACTCCACGTCACCAGGAACACTATTGAACAAACAATCTAAATTTGAAGAATCAAGAGAATATTCGCCTCTCCACTCCATTTCCAGATCCTGAAATAAACGGTAAAAGAGCAGACATAAACAGGTTTTTAAATATTTTAATTATTTTACTTTAAACACACAAGGTTTTTCGTTTTCTGAAGTTGTTATGCTAAGATTAATAAGAAAGATGTATTTATAATGGGTATACTAAATACATAATATGTATATTTACATGGAGTACTGTAAGTAAGCAAAGGTGCATTAAATTGTAGTATTTTGTGCTTTAGACAAAAATGTTTTCAATTAATATTTTGTTTATTAATGGTAACAGAATCACTCTCTATAAACAATGTTGTGATTTAAAAGAAAGTCCCTATTATGTTAATAGATATCCCAGAATTGTGTTGTAATTAACATGTCAACTCAGAATTTCAAGGAAAAAAAATATTTATTTTAGTAAGTTTTGAATTTCTACAATGGTGACCAATCCTACATGCATACGATCCTTTATCCAATAAATTCAGAGTATTTTATGGTAGTACCTATTTGCTGCTGTGCAAGTATGTCTGATTTTAAGCTTATGGATGCAATAAAAAAGAAGTCATGATATTAGATATACAAAAGTGACTAAAATAATGTTCCATTTTTTTATTTTTGTGCTTCACTCCATATATCCCCACCCATTGACTCATTCACATACAATCAACAGGGCTGGTCCAACCATTGGGCAAACCACTGAGGTCACTTAGGGCATAGTTTCTCAACCCGTGGTATGCATAACCCTGGGGGTACGTGAGACACAGGCAGGGGGTATGCGGGCACAGAAAACCCCCACAGCAAGGGGGTGCTGCCACTCCCCCTGCTGCCACCAGGTTCATGTCCAGCTGCTCGCCCTCACCCCCAAGCCAGACAGAGGCTGTTGCAGGAGTGGGAGGGCGGGCACACAGATACCTGCGCATGCCCCACGATAGGCAAGTTTTCTTTCTTTTTTATCTTTCCTGGGCTTTGGGGGGATGGGCAGACTGAGACCCCTAGAGTGCAGGAGGGGCAAGGTACTGCCCCGCTCCCTCCTGCACTGTGGGGACTGGCCCCATGACTGACCCCGCCCGGGGCCCAGTTAACTGCGGGCAGGAGGGCTGGCCGTGGCACCGGGCTTTTCCTGGAGCTCAGGGCAGGCTGTGGTGATGGGAGAGGGGCTGCTGCCTGACCCCCCAGTGCCACTGCTGCCGAACATGGGGAAAAGCCCTGTGCTGCCGCCAGCCCCGCCTGTAGCCAGCCTGGGCTCTGGGGCATCTGCAGCAGGCAGGCTGCAAGCAGCTGCATCGGGTTCCACAGCCCCAGCATCAGCTCCATGCCAACAACTGCATGTGCACCTCAAAGCAGAGGGCGGGTTTATCCCCAATCTCTGCTCTGAGGCATGCGTGTAGTTGCCGCCAGCACGGAGCTGATGCCAGGGCTGCAGAGCCTGGTGCAGCTGTTTGCAGCCTGTTTCCTGCAGCTGCACCAGAGCCCTGCTGGCTACAAACAGCTGCGCTTGGCTCCTGAACCCCATCATCAGCTCCCTGCTGGCGGTGACTGTATGTGTGCCTCAGAGCAGAGAGCAGGGATAAACCTGCTCTCTGCTTTGAGGCGCACATGCAGTCGCCGGCATGGAGCTGATGCTGGGGCTGCAGAGCCTGGTGCAGCTGTTTGCAGCCTCCCTGCTGTAGTTGCCCAGAGCCCAGGCTGGATACAGGCGGTGCCAGTGGCAGCACAGGGCTTT